CAATGACGGGGCCCTGTCCATAGTCACCCGCCCTGAGAAGACTCCAAACAGAAAGCTCATCCCGTCCGTCAAAATAGGATGCTTCAGCAAGTGTGGCTGGAGAGATAACGCCGGGGCTACAAACAGCATGAGCGGAACGAAAACACTGCCCCCCACATAACAGGAACAGCACAGATGTTGCAGTGCTTAAAGGGATACGCTGAAATGGTTGCTAATGTAGATATCAACAAGGTCAGGACATAGACATCTTTAGATGGAAGCTAAGCAGAGAAGCCTTGATTTTTCCAGGGTGTCAGCATTATTAAGTGCTAACTACGCAACTTACATCGGAAATAATCTTTTTTGCTACTGGGTGGTCCACTCCCTCCTACCAAATGCCTCTTTTTAAGTCAGAGATGTAACTGGTCTGAACTCAGAGAGATCCCCAGGGCTGGTTCCGCTGTTTCAGAGATTGACTCAACTGGGAAAAATATGACCGTTTCTAGATCATTTACTGTAAGGGTGGCCGAGGCTATAGGCAATTCACAGCGCTGCAGGGCTGACAGCCTCCAGGTTCATCAAGGGCTGCTTCCACAGGTGGCTCTACCACGGACCTCGCCAGCTTAGAGCTCTGAACGTTGTCAGCTGTCCAAACGAGGTCCTCAGTCCCCTGCCAGTCTACTCACTAACAGCATCCCTGGGCCTCTCAGGAAAGGCACAAGCCACTCTCGGGTGCTCAAATGCACTTCACATGCATTAGATGCATGAACACACTGCCACGCGCATGCGCCTGAGCCGGCCTCCACTTCAGTAAGGACGCTAATTACACACACAGTTCAACCCAGGTTTCCATTTTGCACCGACGCTTCCCTGAGCCGTTAACATTCACATGGCAGCCAGCCGACCTCTAGGTCTGAGCAGGACAGCAGGCACGGTGGCCCTCTGACAACACTATAAATGCCGCTAAGAACAGAAATTTGGGTTAGTGGGCAGAATCAGGGGCGAAGGGGTGGGATTAAAGTGAAAGGGCAAAACCATGAGATGGCACCTACTTCTGCACCCAAGCGACCTGGTCTTTGGTGTTCCCACATGTGTAGAGTCACACAAGGCACAACTACAGCTCACCGGGATAATTATCGAGTCAGCCTTTACCAAGTCCGGCGGTGGTGTCGTCAGGCACCTCAAAGAAGCCTTTTACTGGAAAGTTATTTCCTGTTACCGTTTCCAGTTTTAATTGTCGGAGACCCAGCCCCTGCCACTCTCAGATCTTCTCTGCAGTCCTTTGATCACCTTATGATTATTCTCGACTACAGAAAAAAACATAACGTACACTGAGCTAAGAATCAAAACGTCCTGTGTTCAAGGATCAGGTCTGACTCACATGGTGAATGATTATCAAGGAGATGGCCACAATGAGTGAAGTTCCTTTCATTCTTTCAGCTCTGTGAGTGCCTACTATGTTCCTAGTGCTGTTCTAGAAGCTTCTGAGACAAAGACAGACACACAGACCTCTGCCCTCGCACGGCTGATAACCTAGCTGGCACTCCTGCCATAACTTCGTGTTGTTAACTCTTGCCTCACAGGGACGTGGAGTCAGAATTTGAGAGGCAGGCATTGCATTTTTGCCGACGGCAGAGACCTGCCTTGCCCAATCCGGTGCACACGGCCTCACGGGGCTGTGGAGCACTGGAAACGGGACAAACCCAAACTCGGGTGTCCTGTGCATGTAAAACACAGCCTGGATCTCAAGGACTCGGCATGGGAAAGAAAAAAGTAAAGTATCTCATTCACATTTTTATATAGATTACAAATTGAAATGATATTTGACATGATGAGTTAAGTAAAATTTAAATTGTCTTCATCTGTTTATTTTTACTTTGTAATGTGACTACTGGAAACTTCACTGTGGCTCTTACATTTTTACTGGGCAGCGCTGGTCTGTCGGCCTTGTGACGATGAAAAACCGAAGCCTGTAGAGGCAGCCGCAGAGCAGGGAGGGGATAAGGATCAAGACCACAGAGGACCTGGGCACAGGAGACCCCAAGTCCGTGCCTGGCCACACGCAGGTGCTTGGTGAGTGTCCGCCGCGTCTCCGCTCTGGACCCACACCTCCTACTGCGGCCACCTCACGGTCCCCCACGTGCGTGACAGGACTGGCCACGACTGCGCAGTCAGCTGGCCACAGCGGCCCTCGGGCCCACCTCTCCACTATCACAAGCTCAGGTCAGGGATAAAATAAACAGGGCGTGTTTGGGGTGAGGGGCAGCCAGCCAGGGGAGGTGGAAGGCTGCCCCTTCTGTGACTCTTCCGAGGGCTCAGAAAGGTGACGGCAGCTCTGTCAGCATGAGGGAGTAGGAGCAGTTCGAGATTCATGGATAGCGTTCTCTCAGGTGTTTCCAGCGAGCCAATACAGAGAGAGATACAGGTCTTTCTGTGTTAATCCAAAGATTTGAAGGAAGTAGAAAATAGGGTACAAAGCAAACCTGTAAAGATGTATTGAAGAGGAGAGGCACGGGATAAGGGGATCCTCAGATAGGGTGGCTCAGAAGCCTCTGAGAAGGGTCCCAGGGTAGATTAAAGGGTGGCGAGAAAGGAGCAGATTAATTTGATCAGCTATGTGGGTATGTGTTCTGTGAGGCCAGGCAGGGCCCCCGGGAAGCCTCCTCCACCGGAGGCTGAGAACAAGCAGAAGTGAGGAAGGCCCAGGTCCTGGCAAGACGCTCTGCCTCCCCTAGAGGGACGGGCAGAGCCTGTGAGTCATGAAGGTGGTGTTTTGGGAGCTTGGGATGTAGGATTGGCCCCAGGCAGCGAGAGGAGCCGACTACCCTCCCATCAAGCTGCTGTCTGCAGGGCCCTCAACCAGGTCAGGGGCAGCAGTGGAAAACACAACACGACAAAGAATCAGCAGAGCTGGCCACCGAGTACACGCGGAGCGAGAAAGGCTGATCAAGCCAAGGGAGGCTGGTGGAGGGCGGATGGGCAGGGTGGGAGGGTGCAGGGTAACAGCTTGAAGGCTTTCAGCTGTGGACCAATTAGTGGCCCCTGCCCCTGGGCTCCACACCACCCCCTCTGGGGCCTCCATTTAGGAAAAGGCCTGGAAACCACCCTGCGTTTTAGGCTAGGAGCTTTTGGTCCCCAAAGCTCTGGCACCCTGGCCCACCAGGACACCACCTACTTAAGGGAGGCCCCACTCCCGGGGAGGAATGGCAGCCGCACGCCAGCAGAGGTCTGTGTCCACTTAACCTCTGGGTGACCGGCCCTGGGCGCTGAGGAGGTGGCAGTGAGCACACAACCCTGCCTCCCGGGGCTCACGTGCCGGTGACGAAGACAAGCAAGTGAGAACTGCGCGTGCGGAGGACCCCTGAAGCTGCCCCAGCTCCTCCTACCCCAGAGCCCTCGCCCGGGCCTCCCAGCACCTGGCACACATCGCTGCCTGGGAAGCACTTAACCACTCACTGACTCAATCACTGTAATCCCAGAAATAAACACTTAAAGCTGGGCCGTGACCAAGACCCCCAAAGGCTCTGAGCCTAAAAACAACCTACAGGAAGAGCTGCTTAACACTAGCAATTGCGTCCTCATATTAGTTTTCTCCTGTTGTTCCAAGAAATCCTGCAAGCACTTCTACAGCAGGCTACAGGGGAAAGTGGCCCCAAATCTATGGATTCTAAGCAGTTTATCAGGCTATTTCTTACATAGTTGGGATACACAAAGATGCTTCCTCTAAACCATTTGAACTACAAATACGAACTTCCTAACGACGCATAGAGGGACAGAAAAAAGAAGTCTGAGGCCAGAAATCCCAGAAGCAGCCCACGCGATCGCCCCCACTGCTGTCCGCCAGCGGCTGTAAACACACGAGCACATCTCCACCCACAGGTGTCTGCTCCGTCAGAACACGGCGCATGCCAATCTAACACGCCGCAGTCAAAACGCCCAGATGGCAGGACGGGCTCCTATACTGTCTTGTTTCTTCAGTGACAATACACAAAAAAGCAACAAACCTTATCTAACCAGAGTAATGCTTTATCCCAACTAACACCCCATCCTCTGCATTGCTGCCCTTAACCCCAGACACGCACAGGCGTGCGAGCGCGCGCGCGCGCACACACACACTCACACACACCCCTACAAAATAACAGCTACAGCCCAGAGTCCAGGGTGAAACCAAGAAACTCAAACACAAGTTTAAACTAACTCCCAAAACTAGCCTTGGGCTTCCGCAACTTCTCTCAGTAACACACACACAAAAAAAATGGTTTACCACGTCCATTCAGAGCTCATGGCTTGCCATTCTTCAGAGACTGACCCCATGCACACAGCATAGCAAAGAGGAAGGCAAGGTACTACTTACTTGAGCAGTTAAAAAAATGCCATTTTCTAACTCCGTATCAAATAAGTGTGGTTACTGGCAGAACAAGGGCATGACAGTCCACTCTAGATTATCTTTACTGCCGGGCAGTTCCTTGGACTTTCAGAGTACGAGGGCTTCTCAGTTCTCTGGTGCATGGAGCAGAATGTCCACAACCTGCTCCATCCAGCCTTGAACGCTGGGAATGCGGGCTAACCCAGCGCTGCTGGGAGAGGGGCTGTGGGAGGAGCTTCTGCAACTCAGGGGATTTCGGGAGCTGCTGGTGCTGGGAGGAGAGCAGAGAAACTGCGGGGGAGGGGCGGGGGGCACTGGTGCTAGGCTAAATCATGTTCATTCTGACAGAGTTACCCCAATGTAATCTCTAGATACAAGGTGGGTATGGTGGAAGAAAGGCCACAAAAGGCGTTGCTGTTAGCTCTACATTCACACACTAACGTTCCTTATGAAATTAGGGACTTTTGTTTTGGGTAACAATTTAGGAGCCTCCTGGCAGAGGAAAAGTTTTGTTTGTTTGTTTGTTTGTTTGTTTGTTTAATGTGATGAGACTCTCCCCACAGCTACCTGAACAATTACATATAACATATAACTCAGAGCTTCTTTCTAAAAACTCCTTATTCAGAATAAGTGTACTCTAAAGATACAGGTGTACCTTAAAATATAAAGTTTCAGTTATCTCAAGTAAAAGCTTGACTCCAGAGATATTAAGTTTTCCATCTTCACAAACAACAATGGCAAAGGACAGAATTCCTGCTGGTCCAGCTCAGACCGCTCCCCTGAAAGCGAAGAGAAAAGTCAGCACTCTCTAGTCCCCACCTCACGCCGGGCAGTGGCAGAGTCTCCAGAGCAGGTCTCACCACCCCCCTCAGAAACCTCTGGGGAGTTAAGACTCAGCACAATTCCTGGGAGGCACTCCTACCACCCTCACCTTGCTTCCTCGCTCTGATCCTTGCCAGGTTACACATGTTGAAAGGTTAGTGGAGCCAACAATGGCCACCCTCATCCCCACGAAGGACAGCTGGACCCAGCCCAGAGTCGGCTTCAGGAGGATTTAATCATCTTAACTTCATTTTCTGGGGAGGTTCAGGTTCCTAACCCACCTATCCTGAATACCAATTGTCACAATATAAATGATTACACAGTCTTCATAAACGCTTATCGGTGCCCTTCAAGCACTGCGTTGTTGGCATGTTCTAACTCCCTAACTAAAAAACAAACAACAGTTAAAAAGCAGCAGGTCCCTACTTAAGGACGTGGGCAGCCCGGCAGAAGCCTTCCTCCGAACCAAAAGGGAGGGGGAAGAGGGCTGAGCCGATCCCTCCCGCGGCGTCCAGCCCTAACAGTCAGTTCTAGAGAGGATGGCTAAAGTCCCCCCTGGCTTCGAGGGAGCGCCGTTTGGTTTGACCGCCCGCGGGCGTTGTGTTGAGGTCTGCAGGCTACCAACCTGTACTCAGGTTCGTCACCCTCCTCCGACTCCCCTCCTACCTTCGCGATCTTGACTGCGACACCTCCCACGGCAGCGGCGCCTCCTGAGCCACCCGCGGCACCGCTAGCGAGTCAACTGACTGTCATGGCTTTTAGTCTACTCTGTAAGCAAGTTTCACTTCTAAAAGGGGCGGAACCAGGTCGCAGACACCGTAATCCCGAGAAGTTTCCGAGAGAAGCGCAGCACACAAGTCACTCGCTTAGGTCACTTTGCTGCTTATGGTGTCCACAGTCTGGTGTGAGTCCAAGAAAAGTGAGCGATCTCCGCTCGGGCCCTGGCACCCCGCCTGGGAAGCGCCCCTCCCCTGTCCGGCCTGATATCGGCCCCGGACCGCTGCGTCTCTAACTGCACCTCCCCAAACCGCCGCATTCGAATTCGCGCTGCGCAGGCCGGAGGGGGTGTACGTGCGGGTGGGAGCGCAGGTGCTAGCCCGAGAGACCGCAAGCGACGAGGGGTGGCGGGACGCCGGCGGGCCCCAGGAAGGAGCCGAAGGCCCCCATCACGTACGCTTCGGCCTCCCCGCCGCGCCCGGCCAACGCGCAGCCCGCGGGAAGCGCGCATCAGGAACTCGCTGAAGTTTGCCAAGCCTAGCCGAAGTCTCTGGAAAGTTGCAGCTCCCTCTAGGAGCGTCTCGCCTGGCCCACAGGGGCGGAGAGTGGAGGGAGGGTGCCACTGAGGGAGCTGCGGGGGAAGGGAGCACCTGGTCCCGTCACCTGTCCGCACCACCCCTCACGCCTCCGCGTCCCCCACTGGGCTCGGCAAGGACCCGAGCTCCGCTCGACGGGGAGAGACCCCCGAGGGCAGAATTCGCGGCTCTCTGGATCCGCCGCATCCTCAACCCTTTGGACGAGAGGGCCCTGGACTCACCTGGGCGGTGGAAGAGGAGAGGACGGAGTCAGGTGCTTGGTGTGGGCAGCCCCCAGCAGGAGCGGCGCGGTCACTACAGCCCCCAGACAGCTGCACGGAGTGAGCCTCACGGCCACCGCCCCCCTCGTTCTTATACGGCCTGACCACGCCCCCGTCCACCACCCCCGCCCCCGCCCCCGCCCCTAAGCCTGCCTCCCGCGGGAGCGAGGGGCAGGGCAAGGCGGAGTCAGCGCCCACGGGATCCTTCCGCCTGGACGCTGACGGCGAGGGCCTGGCGAGAGGTGCCTTTTGATTGGCTCCTTGGGTGAATGGTTGCCGAGAGACGAGTAAATCTCAGGCGGCGGGAAGGGGCGGGGGTGCTAAAGGAGGTAGCACTGCGCAGGCGCAATAGAGAGGGGCCCGGTGGACACCCCCTTAACTTCGGAGTCACGGGGACTTCTTCTGTTTCTCCTTTTCGCTGCGCTCTTTTCTGCTGTTTCTGTCACATAACTTCCCCCCAAGTTTTTCCCATCTCTATCCCGCTCCGTCGCAGGCCTGTTTTGTTTGTTTCTCTGGAAGTTTCGCGTTGGCTCCCTTTTCCAGGAGTGGGGAGTGAAACCCCCACGCCTACCTCCGGGGTGTGTTCTGAACTCGGAAAAAAAAAATTATGGTTTCTGAGCCTGGGGAACCTTCCTGTTTCCCCATGCAAGCTGGCTGGAGGTCATTGGGGAAGGAGTCAACACAGTTGGTTCTCTGGTCGGAGTTAACCACCTGTGTGCAGTTGGTGGCACCAAAGGGCCTCGAGGAATCCATCGCCAAGCCTGGCAACCGCGACAGCTTCAGCCCTCTGCGGCATGTCACAGGGTCAATGGTGCCTGTTATATAACATACGGGCGGGGCTTGGACTCGACCCACTCATTCCATAGCAAGTGTTTAAGAGTCTCGGTTCTAAATTCAGATAACCTGGGCTGGGATTTCCATTCATCACCTGACTATCTGTAAGGCCTTGGGCAACTAACTTAACCAACCCTCCATAAATCTCGATCTCCTCACCTGTACGTGGGACTAAAAATGGAACAGCTTTGTAGGGTTATGTAAGTATTAAATAAGAAAAGGGAAAGCTGCTAGTGCAGTGCCTAATATAAGGGGTGTGGGACGTGTTATATCAAATAGTAACTGTCATTTATCCATAAACATTTATTGAGCTTGTACTGATCCTCTACTGGGTGGTGGGAGAAAAGATTACTTCCCACAGGCGGTATTTCCATGCCCCGCCCCTTCCATTCCTGCCTGAAATAAATATGGCTCTCAGTGTCTGCCAGGATAAAAAGAGTTCTCAGATATATGCCTTCCCTGGAGAGGAGCGGGTTCCTGGAACATCAGGAAGATAAAAGATCGGTATGAATGCTTGCAGCAAAAGCCACAGTGATTCTGTTGTTGGACATGCAATCAGGATATGGTCTGATATTTTGGTGTTACTTTTTGTTTTTGAGGTATAAATTCAGTACAGCGCACAAAGCTAATGTACACAGAATGATGAATTTCTACATATATGTACACCCGTGTAACTGCCACCCAGGTGGAGACACTGACAGTCTCCAGTTTCCCCCTCATGCCCCTTTCCATTCAGTGTCCCACAGGGTAACCATTGTTCTGACCTCTATCGCCATAGATTAGTTTTACCAATATTTGAACTTGATATGGATAAATTACATAATGCATGTACTTTTGTGTCTGGCTTCTTTCACTCAATAGTGTGCCTATGAAATTCACCCATATTGTTGCATGGAACAATGGTTCATTCTTTTCCAATACTGTGTATCATTTCATTACATAAATATTCAATAATTTATGTACTCATTCTACTGGTGGATGTTTGGGTTGCATCAAATTTTTGCCTATCACAAATGAAGCTGCTTACAAATAATCTTTTTTCCAGGTTTATGAGGTATACTTGACAAATAAAAATTGTGTGTATGTAAAGTGTACTACATGGTGTTTGGATATACAGTGTGAAATAATCACCACAACCATGCCACATATCCGTATGTAAATATGAATTAACATATCCATCACTTCATGTAGTTACCCCTTGTGTATATGTGTAGTGAGACCAAGTCTCTTAGCAAATTTCAAGTATACCGCGTCTGGCAGAAGTAATGCCTGCTTGAGTGTGGTTGGTAGGGTGTAATAATATGGGTGTAATAATTTATAGTTTTAATGTGAACATTTCACCTAAAATGTCATATGGTGTGCAGGAGTGCGATATTGTTATGTTACAGAACTACATGCTTATGATTTTGTAATAAAAAGGGGTGTTATTTGTGCCAGATACTGTATAATACAGTGTTACCAGCTATAATCACCATGCTGTATATTAGATGGATCTCCAGACTTTATTCATCCTACGTTTATACCCAGGACTGGAAATGCAGGATCATAGAATATACACATATTAAGCTTTAAAGAGACTGCCAAATAGTTTTCCAAAGTGGTACAGCAATTTATATTCCAGCCAGTACTATGAGATTTGTAGTTGCTCCACAACTTTGCCTGTACTGGTGTTGCCAGTCTGTTCACTTTAAAAAGGTGGGGAAGGTAGCCCCGGCCGGGGTGGCTCAGTTGGTTGGATTGTCCCATAGCCAAAAGGTTGCAGGTTCAGGCCCCAGTCAGGTGCATATGGGAGGCAACTAATCTGTTTTTCTCTTCTCTCTCTCTGTCTTCCTCTCTCTCTAAAAGCAGTGAAAAAAAATGTCCTCAGTGAGGATAAATAAAAATAAAATGGAAGTGTGTATTTCATTGTGATTTACATGTACATGTCTCTAATAATAATGTTAAGCAACTTTTCATATGCTTATTGGCCACTTTAATATCCATTTAGTGAAATGACTGTTTAAGTCTTTTGCCCATTTTCAGGGAGTTGTCTGTCTTACTGATCTATGAGTTCTTTACATATTCTGCATATGAGTCCTTTGTCCAATACATGTCTTACAAATATCTTCTCACAGTCTGTGGCTGTGTTTTCATTCTCTTAATATTATCTTTTAATGAACAGGGATTCTTAATTTTAAAGAAATCTCATTTACCAATCTTATTTTTATGAGTAGTGTTTTTTGTGTTCTGTTTAAGAAATCTTTGCCTAGCCTGAGGCCATGGCGTTCACCTACTTAGTTTTCTTCTAGGTACTTGTTTCAGCCTTCACGTATAGATCTCTGAGTCATCTCAAGGTAACTTTTGGTGCAGTTGAGGGTCAAAGTTTATTTTTCCTACATGGGTATACAATTAGCTCAGCACCATTAGCAAGTAGTTTTGTTGAATGAATGAATGCATTGCTGAAAAATTCAGTTAAGAGACAAAGTGACTGGTTTCTTAAAACCCAGATTGTCCATAAAAATCCAGTATACATGATCACATTAAAATTAATGTAAATTGTTATATTGCATGGGCCCTTGAACCATTTCTACTTTCTCTGTATCTCATGGATACCATTAGCACAGGCAGCCTCAGGGTAGAATGCAGGTCAGAAATTCTAACCTAGAAGTTGAGCTAGCCTGGTTTCCTTCTACCTTTGCTTGGGTAAAATTGTGTCCAGCTTCCTGACCATTAGGCAATCTCATGGTAGGTAGAAGGGGAGAGCCAAGAGCTAGAAAAGAAATTCATTATTCATATGTGTGTATACATTTTTCTTTGGGCCCCTTTTTATTTCTGGGGCACGACTTGACTTTTCTAGAACTTTGTTTCCATTTTTTGAAAATACACAGTGTTCTTTCTACCTCATAAAACTGTGACAGCCTGAAGCCGGAAGGAGCCTCAGGAAGCTGCCAGGTGCTGCCCACTGGACATGGGACCACGGACTGAAACTGTCCTGAAATTATCAGAGCCTCCTCCCTGCCAAATCCCCGCCTCTGCTGGAGCACGTCCAGCCCACATGGTCTCAAGAGCATTGCGTTCTGAGCGACTCTTGATCTGTACCTAGGATTGCCGAAGAAAGAAAAGCAAAGCAGGAAGGCCATGACCCTGAAAAAGTTCTATGTTTCAATAGAATCTTATTTCAAATACTTAGAGAAGCAAAGACATTCTATCGCTAATGGTTTTTGCAAGGCAAGAAAAAAAATCTTTCGCTTAGTGCCCAGCTATGCTCATTGACCAGTGTCTTTAAGCCTGGAGTGGTGTGTATGACTCTATCTCAAGGTGGATCACCAGATTAAGCATTTATTAAAATGCCCTGTTCTAAATATCTTATCTTTCTTACTATGGTTTTTAAGCAAAGTTTTTATTGCTGCCTATTGACATACAGAGAAGGGCACACAGATGACAGGAGCGCACAGCTCAGTGAACTCGCGCAAACTGAACAAACCTGTATCACTGGCGCCCAGACTGAGAAACAAAGAAGCACCACAGCACTTGCGGGCCTGTTTACAGCCACCACAGTGGCACTGTCTCCATGTGAGTGGTTCTCTGCTGGGGCCGAAGCAGGACTCAGCTTTGAACCAAGCG